AGTGTTTTCTAGGCTGCTTGCCATGTCTCTGCACATGCCTGTATGAGATGCTCGGAGCTCGGGACAGATCCACTCGCACGTAGCGGGCTCTTGATGAGCACACATCTCCTTGCAATTGCATTCCCTGCTTGGAAAGGCAACGTGGCACTCAGGTGCTGCCGTGGCGCTTGCACCCATTTGCTGGCATTTCCTCAAGGGGAGCAGAGCAGATCCCTGAAGGTGGGAAGGGGAGCAGAGATGCAGCAGATGCAGAGCTTGGAGAGGGCTTCACACCAGGAGGGAATAGGGTTTCTGGCCCATTCCTGGCTATCCTGAAGCTCGTGGTAGTGGGTGGCCCGAAGTGCCACTGCAGAGCTTCTTCCCAGCTTTTTTAACGGTGCTGTAAGAGCATCTCTGGTCCTGCCCTAATTGGACAGGGCCAGAGTGATGCTGGCTGGAGGTTTTGGTCTCAGATGGACCAAACGGTCCATCAGATGGTCTCGGATGGGGGATAAGGTGAACCAAGCCAATGTCCAGGATGATCCCACTTCCCTGGTAGAAGCTTCCAGGCTGGAGCTGCATCTTTTCACCTGGCTTTCCTGGCCTGGAGCTGGGGGCAGGATGGCCTGGGATGCTCCTGCAAGCCAAGGACACATTTTCTAGGATTGTTTTGAGGGAAGCGGCGGGGAGAACCATCGCCCACGAGCCCCACGAGCTCAGCTGCAGAGACCCGGCGTCTCCTTCCGAAATTCCCTGGCTCGGATGCGCTCAGGTGGGGGATGCGGCTGCGCAGCCCCCCGAGAGGGAGCGGTGCCCCCGTCAGACACGGAGCTTGGGGGCGACTGGAGTCCCTGGGCTGGCAACAGATGGCTGGAGTCAGCTTGCTGACACCTGCCCCTCCTCTCCTGCCCTTCCTTTTCTTCTCCACTCATTTTGTTTGATTTTTTCCAACACTTTTCATAGAGCCGGAGGGTCCCGCTGTTGCTTCCCGCCTTGCAGAAGGGGGGTCTGTCCTGGGAGGCAGCCAGGAGGACAAGGAGATGAGAAGGGATGTGATGATGTCCTTGGGGCCATCATGTTCGTGTTGAGGTGCTCAGCATGGGATGGCTGCATGCAAGCAGTGGGGGAGATGGACATGATTGAATAACCCAACGGGCCCTCCTGGACCAAGGTTGAGACTCGAGGCTGTGACAGGGCCATCTTTGTGTGGGATGTGACAGTCCAAGAGCAGAGCCATGCTGGCACCAAGGTATCCGATCTACTATCTATGCTTGGAGGGGTTGTTCCCTCCTGGCCTTTGCAAGTCACTAGTTCATATGACCTACAACTTAAATTGATGCAAAAAAAGGCTGGATGAAGGACCTTTAAGGCAAACAGAAACCCAGAAAAGGCCATTGCAGTAGACATCTAAGCCCTCCATGAAACCGGGGAATTTTCTTCTGAAAGCAGATGAAGTGCAGAGAATACCTCTTCTCCAAGCACTGGCCAATTGCCCATAGCTAGGCCACCACCATGCAGCAAACCGGGCCAGGACTAGTGTCATTCTCCTCTAGGTTTTGTCTCCGTTAATCCCAGAAAAAGGTTCTGGAAAAGGACTTGGGTTTCCCAGAGTCCTGGCCTGGCCATGACTGTGGGATTGGTGCCAGGCCAGCACCAGCCCCTGTGCCAGAGGGACACAAACCATCTGTGATGCCTGGTGGGCACTGGGATCCTTCTATGCAGAGAGGAAAAGCCAATCTTACAAGCCAAAGGTGGCAAGGTGGGCATGGACAGGGAAGGGAAGTGACTGAGGGAGGCAGAATTGGGAGCAGGAGTTGGATCCTGCACTGACTAATTCTGGGGTGAAGCAACTTTTAGTTCTGGGATGGTAATTCAAGGCCCGAGCCCCAGGACATAGCCTGGTGCATCCCATGCTTCCCTGGTACAACTGGCTCCTAGAGGTTGGCCGCATACCTGGAAGAAGGAATTTTATCCCTTTCACAGTGCAGAACCTTGTGGATGGGGCCATGAGGCTCCTCCAGACTTGAGGTACTTCTAGACACTGCTCAGGTCCCCTCTCAGCCTTCTCTTCTCCAGCTGAACAGGCCCAGCTCCCTCAGCCTCTCCTCATAGGGCAGATGTTCCAGGCCCCTGATCATCCTCGTAGCCCTGCGCTGGCCTCTCTCCAGCAGCTCCACATCCCTCTTGTCCTGTGGAGCCCAGAACTGGACACAATACTGCAGATGCGGCCGATGGGGGCAGTTGGGGTTTGCTGCACGCTCCCTGCCTGCATGGACCAGCCATCTCATGCATGCACCTGGCATGCACCACTTGCTGCCCACTGCCCTCTGCATGGCCCCTGTGGTCCCACAGGGAGTGGGAACCACCACTTTTCCTGGTGAGAAGCCTCACGATGGGCTCCGAGCAAGCTCGAAGGTGCCCTGGGGCATCATCATCCCACGCAGGGTTTGTGCTCTGGGGGCCCTGCCCCTTGCAAGCCACCCCGCCACGCGGGGCCACCGTCACAGCAAGGGCCACCTGGCACAAGACGTGCTGGCCAGGGCTCTGTGCTGTCCCGAGGGGCTGGTGGAGGCAGGACTGGAACCTGTGGTTAAGCCTAATTCATGCAATTAACCCCTGCGCGGTGACAGGCTCCAGGGTGACGGAGAGGGGCAGTGTCTTCTCTGCTGGCAAGGAGCACAGCCCCAGGGGTACCTTCCACGGCACCCCCTCTGCCCCGAACTGCTTCGTCCCCAATCTCCAAACGCATTTTTGCAAATTAAGCTCTGGCATGCAGCCCCCTGCCCTCCTCCTCCCCCCTTGGCGGTGTTTGGGG